ATATTTATCTTAGCAGTCATTATTAATCAACAATTATTGAATTTATAGAGGTCTGTTCATAATCACATGGGATGTTTCATTCGTGGGGCTAAAGTATCAAACATAAGTTGAGGCCTAAATTTGGAAAAGTGAGTAAATTATGTGGAAAACCCATCTATAATATTACAAAAGAATAAGAAGATTACAAAGAAAAACAATTACGAGTATCCTTCGATTGTCATTTTCGCCAAAGAAAGAGGAAAAATAATGTTGTAGCTGGTGAGGTTTCTCTATAGAAATAAAAGTGGTTTGATTAAATTTGTAGTTTCTAAGCAATTTGTAATTTTTATTTTTTTAATTGGGTCATTTATAATATTTTTTTTACCAAATGTTTTATTATAATTATTTTATTTTATTTTATTTTAAAAAATTATAAAATTTTGTATTTAATATTTTAAAATATCTCAAATTTTTCATTTAACTCTCGTAAAGATTATAAATTTTTATTTAGTTCTTCTAAATTGAAAAACAAAATAAAAAATATAACAATATATATTTAGATTAATCAAATAAAAAAACATATCACCAAACACATGGATTGACTAGTGAGAGTTGTTATTGCTTAATTTGTTGTCTCAAATTTAAATTTCAATAAATATAATTATGTTAAATAGAGAGAGAACTAAGATAAAAAAAATGAATTAAAACAATAACATCATATAAAGTAAAAAAAAAAATATTAGTGTGAAAATAATATAAAAATATTAAAAATTATTCTTAATTTAATTTTGAAATAATTATTAAATAGTTAATATTTTAATTATATAATAATTTTAATTAAATAATAAGATAATTTTTTATACTGTTAATATATATATATATATATATATATATATATATATATCATACCTAAGAGTGTACTTTTATGTAGCATTTACCCAACCAAATTATTCTTACAAAATTACTTTTAGAAATATTTCCACGAATAAAATTCATTCTCTCAAAAGTATATAACTTTTTTTTGGAAGTAAATAAAGCATGAAACCATTACCTTTTTTCGAAATTGGTTCTTTCATAACACATTACACAATATGTGAGAAAGTGTTATCTTTTCAAATATAATTTTTGTAACACTTTTTATATTTATTTTTATTACATCATTCATTTTATTCTGTATTTCTCTCTCACACTTAGTTATAGACACGTTATTCAAAAATGCATATACAAATAGTTTTATTTTAGAAATTATACCAACGAAAGTTTAGTGAAATACCTCTTGTTTATATTTTCTCCCTAAAAGTCACATTAGATGTTTAAAGTATATAAAATTGATCAATTATTTATCTTTTAAGAATGAAAATAATGGTTTTACCTCTTAAAAATTTTATGACTGACTTCAAATTTAAAAAAATTAAAATGATATTTTGCTTTACAATATATTTTTTATGAATAGAATATAATTTTTGTAGCATATGTGGGGGAATAAATTAATCACCCATCATAAAAAGAAAAGGGAATATAACATGCAGGGAATTTTATAAAGTGAGATGCCTTTCCTCGTTTTGCGTTACATGATTGCGTAAAGAGTTTTATAGAAATTGTGATTACAACAACGTTTAGCTTTTATAGAAAGATATGTTCAACCAAATATTTCGTGTATGTTATTTTAAAAGGTAAAATTACATTTCATTAACAAATGATGACATCTGTAATAAAATTATAACTGAGATGTATTTGAATGTAATTTTAAATTCTAAATTATAGTTAAAGCAAAAGTAAAAAAATTATTAAATAAGTGTGTGTTTGGTTTAATATATTTAAATAATTATTTATTTATTTATAAACTGTAAATAGTTATTTCTTGTAGTTTTCATAGATACAATCATTTTCAAACAAGTACTATTTTATAAATTATAATTCAAGCATCGTCTTCGTCAAAAAAGTTGTTTGTTTGCATTTCACACCCCTCCCAGGACTGCTACTTTATGATAATTTGGTGTTTGAGAGTTACAAACACACAGGCCAACAACAAAAGGTAAGAAAAAAGGAAATATAATAACTTAGGGTAAATAATACTTTTACGTACGATAAAAAAATTTTATGGAAGGAAATGATATATCATTATAAAGTAGAAAAAGTAGTTCAACTAAAAAAATTAATCTATAATTAGTTGTTATATACATAAAAGGAGAAAAGACAAAAAAAAAATGCTTCTATTTTATTTTAAAATTTAATAGACGCCAACATGTAAAATTGACAAAATAGGTTTTTTTTTTTGGGTGAATATGATATTTGAATTTCTTAAAATTGAGTACAAAAAAGGTTGTTTTTTTATTTACTCCTCCAGCTCTTTTATAGGATTCTTTTAACTAAATTACATGGATTATAAGAAAAATTATACTGAAAATAGATAATGTATTGATTTTAAAAAATTAATTAAACATGTTAATTTTACTCCTAATTAAATTCAAACTTTATTACTATATAATGAAAACAATTAATTTTAAGAATTAATAATCACCTGAATACTTAAAAAATATCATGGGTATTTTTTTAAAAGATTTTACTATTCAAATAAAATTTAATTAGCTACATATGTGTTTCAGGAATAATTTCATATATATATATATATGTGTGTGTGCGACCTTGTACTTTCTTTTTCCATACATCTCTGACCTCTCTTCTGTTTCTTTCATATAGAATAATGAAGTGTTACTTGAAAGCAAAGGTTTTTCATAAACCTTATGAATAGTCTAAGCAGTGAGGCTCACCAGAGCAAGCAAAAGTCAGATAATGTGATAGCAGGTTTCTTAAATCTCGGAGATGAATTCATTAAATTTTGAATTCAATACCATATCACTAGACCAATAATTTTCTTGCTTGTAGCTCACATCCATAAGAATTATGAATGAGAAGAAGAAAAAGATAAACTGCTTAATCAACTAAAGTGGCTTTTTAGTTTGAAACCTTCAGAATCATGCTGCTCAGATCAACGTCAGGCCAATGGGTAGAGTAAAATTATGTGTTTTTAAAGTGGATTTCAAAATTTCAACCTTTTTATTTCTCTCTGTCACTTTACTTTTGGCTGATATACATATATGCATATACTATTGTTTTAGATTTTGGTAGAATAAATTTTAAAAGAATTGAAGTTGAAGAATTAATGTGTGCTTGAAATTGACAGTATAAATGTGAGTTTATATTGATTATTTTTGTTTAGACGAGGTTAAAGTAGAATTACTTTTAAAACTTAAATAATATAGATATAGTTTATGAGTGTCACACTCATTTTCTTTTTCAGTAAGAAAGCAAAAATATATTATATTTTTCTTAAAATTATTTTTATTTAACCCAAAACTGATTTTAACATAAAAAAGTATTCTCAAATTAAATTAATTTTCAAAAAATGGTTTACTTTAATCACTGGAAATGAGATTGTAGTCCCATAACAAACAAGCTATAAGAAGTTGGAAAATGAAGCCAAAAAACATGGAAAGGCATGTCTTATGACAGGTTTGGCACAAGTGTACGATGAATCAAAACTCGTCAGATTAAGTCAACCAAATAATTTTCCATGTAAAAATAGTTGTACCAATTTCTTCTTCTTCTTTTTTTTAATTATGGCAAGAACTTCAAATCAATCTGGATTGGGGTTAATAATTATAATGAGGCTAGGCTAGAAGTCTAGTTAAATTGAAATCTGTATGAACTGGACAATTGATCAGTTAAAAAAAGAAATTAATATTTTGATTTTCTTCACTGAAGGTGTGACTGATACCAAACTTTTGACTTTCATGTCAATTCATCCCTTAGCTGTCAAGTGATATTCACTAACTGCTTTGGAATGGTATAATGATTTATAAAAAAAAAATCAGTGCAAAAAATTGAACAAGAGTTTTCTTTCCCCTGTTGAGTTGAAAAGAACCAACTAAAATGAAATTGAGACTTGAGATAATCTAATTTCTGCTTCAATGGTCCTTTATATATATGTATATAAGCTTTTGTTTCATATTATTTGACTTAAGAAAATGACATATGGCTTCCTTCTTCTTTTTGCTTTTAATAAAGATTAAACCTTCCATTGAGGGGAGCAAATGCAAGATATCTTGGTTTGATGAGATGTGATCACACATCCAAGAGAATTAAAACTATTGAGGGCCTACACTTAAAGGCTCAACATGTGTTGAATCCAATTGAAGAAGTAAAGCAGCCCAACCTGTGAGAATTAAAACTCAATTTCTTTAATTGTAGATATCATCAATTAGTTTCATATATATGTATATATATATATGAAGTGGAAGTTAATATCAGAAATCAGGACCACTGATGATGAAAAACATATAAAACTAATTTCATTTGAAAAATACATGAATCAGTAGCTGGACAAAAATATAAGAAATAAGAGAGAGAAAAGATCTCAGTTTAGTGTCACAAAACCCCTCTACAAAATGTCTCACATGGTCTCTAATTTTATTACAAAACCATTCATTTCAATTCCACAACCACAACCTTACTTTGTTCACTTTGTAATGGTGCTTATAAAAGGTCTCATGTGCATTTTCTACCACAAACCGTTCGCACACTCTCATGCACACATACATAGGAAGGAAAAACAACTGAGAGAGATTCCATATAGATAAAAAGAATTAATGGACCCAATGATTGGTCTTTTTCTTGCATTTTAACCTTTCTTACCCATCACTCCAACACTAACAAAAATCCTTGACAAGGCACATATCTACATGAAATAGAAAAAATTAACACGGTTTGATGATTCTGGCACAACACAATATCTCACCCAACTAATCCTCTAACAAGCTTCCATGATTCCTCCCTCTCTCCTAATCAAAACCTTATAATTCCAAAACAGTAACACCACCAATATTCATTATAGGAACTAATAACATATTATTAGCTTGAGACATTGCCAAGTGGCAAAGTTAGAAGCGTGTCACATTCACCCCTCGTGGTTTAGTTTGCAAAAAGTAATGCCCCTCACAAGAGGTTGTATGGCAGATCCCCACCTCCCCATGTTACAACTTCCCCTCTACCTGTCCCTACCTTCCCCACATTTTATAAAACCCCATATCCCTCCCTTCCCTCTCCTTCAGTCCCTCATAACATCCTTTCATTTTCTCCCTCATTGTGCCATTCCAATTACACCTTCTTATCCATTTTACTATCAGTCCTTTCCTTTGTTAACATACCCTTTCTCCAAATCACACTTTTCCTGTTAAGCACACATAATAGCAAGGCACCAAAATGTGCAGTTCCAAGGCCAAAGTGACTCTAGGCATAGAAGCCACCACTACAACCACAACCACAACAATACCTCCTGTGGCTAGAATCAATGGCAGGCCAGTGCTTCAACCAACTTGCAACCGTGTTCCAAACCTTGAAAGGAGGAATTCAATTAAGAAAGTGGCACCAAAGTCACTTTCTCCACCATCACCACCACTTCCAAATAAGACCTTATTGACACCCCCAGTTTCTCCAAAGTCCAAGTCCCCAAGGCTTCCAGCAATAAAGAGAGGCAATGACAATAATGGGCTGAATTCAAGTTCTGAAAAGGTTGTGATCCCAAGAAACTCCACAAAGACTCCAACTTTGGAGAGAAAGAAGTCCAAAAGCTTTAAGGAAGGGTCATGTGGTGCTGCAATCCTTTCTGCATCTATCGAGGCTTCATTGAGTTATTCTTCCTCTTTGATCACTGACTCTCCAGGGAGCATAGCTGCTGTGAGGAGGGAACAAATGGCACTGCAGCAAGCACAAAGGAAAATGAAGATTGCCCATTATGGAAGATCAAAGTCCGCAAAGTTTGAAAGAGTTGTTCCTCTTGATCCTTCAACCACAAGTCTTACATCAAAGCCAAATGAAGAGGAGAAGAGATGCAGCTTTATCACAGCCAATTCAGGTAATTCTTAGTGAATGTTTTAATACAAATTCATAATTTCATACCCATTTAGATGTTTTATATGAAACAAAATGTGTTAATGTTAATGTAATGTCTCTTTTGATACATAGATCCCATCTATATTGCTTATCATGATGAGGAATGGGGAGTTCCAGTTCATGATGACAAGTAAGCCCCCACTTCTCTCTTTTTCTGTCACACCAACCACAAATATTCTGAAACAAATAATGATGACTGACAAAAACACTATTGTCCATTCAGGATGTTGTTTGAACTTTTAGTTCTAAGTGGTGCTCAAGTTGGATCTGATTGGACCTCAACCTTGAAGAAACGCCTAGATTTCAGGTTGGATTCTGTTAAAAGGCATTGATGTGAATAATTGCATGAACTTTTTTTTGGTCTAGGAAACTAAAAATTTTGAAATTGTGTACAGGGCTGCATTTTCAGAATTTGATGCAGAAACTGTGGCCAACTTGACTGATAAACAAATGATGTCAATTAGTTCTGAGTATAGCATTGATATAAGCAGAGTCCGAGGAGTTGTTGATAATGCTAACCAAATTTTAGAGGTAAGCAAGAATTCACCTCAAAAACTGTGCCCTTTTTATCTCTCTTTTTAACTTGGTCTCTCTTCTTTTCATTTCATGTTCTACAAAACAATAGTTTGAGATGGCTTAAGTGAATATTCTAGTAGGAAAGAACATAATAGTTTAAGAGTATTAATGGTGTGACTTGTTTTCAGCTACATCTTATTATTATCTCTTTAATTTTGACAAGAATTTTAACAGGTTAGAAGTTTTAATGCATGGCCCCACAGGAAATGATTTATCTCTGCTAAATTTTGAATCATGGTTACCATATCTTTACCAAAGTATATTACATAATTGTAATTGCTGTTACTTAACACTAGCTAGCAAATATTCTTTACCAAAGTATAAAAAATGAAAATAAAATTTTCATTGGAGTGGAGAAGGAAAAGGGGGGGAGGGGTAGGATAATTTCTGTCCATTTAGCTGATAATACCAATCACTTAATAATTATCTCTACTTAAATTATTTGCTAATATTTTTGCTTTGCAAATTGGGTCATTACAGATTAAGAAAGACTTTGGTTCATTTGACAAGTACATTTGGGGGTTTGTCAATCATAAATCCATCTCCACTCAATACAAGTTTGGCCACAAGATTCCAGTGAAGACATCAAAATCAGAGAGCATAAGCAAAGACATGGTCAGAAGGGGCTTTAGGTTTGTTGGTCCAACAGTGGTGCATTCATTCATGCAAGCAGCTGGACTCACCAATGACCACTTAATCACTTGTCACAGGCACTTGCAATGCACCTTGTTGGCATCTCGCCCTCATTGTACCATAGAGCCCTCTCTATAGATCCAATTTCAACTCAGAAATAAGGAACAAGAGATTGACCCTGAAGAGCTCAAGACATAAAAGAGTTATTATGTATGCTGAAGAGCATATGTAATGTGGCTAACTATAGTTTACTTTTAAGTTAAATGTTGTGTATAATATTAGATAGGACAAAAAGGTTTCTCTGATTTGTGAGATGTTGTGAGAATTTTTAATGATAGTTTGAGTGTGCTTTTCATTGCATAATTAAAGAAAAAAAAAAGATGATTATTAGAGAGAAGAAAAAGGCTTAGGATGGTGTTATTAAGTGGTGGGAGGCTTAGGGAACAGTCAGCATGTGCATGTGCAATTAGGAGGCAAGGGCATGTGTGGTGTCAGTTTGCTTTCTAGACCATGTGACCCATCAGACTTTGCATTATTTGGTTCCCTTTAACAGCCTGTGTGGGATACTTGTAGAGGGGTGTGTAGGACCACCTTCCCCCTCCTTTCCTTCTCTTGCTTTGTTTATGGGGTTGTTTTCTTTACTGTATTCTCTAACTTTTTGGCTTGGTTGATATTATACCCCAATATATTTTGGAGTTGGTGTGGATGTTTTGAGTGGCCTTCAATACCTTTGTCATGTGCTTCTGTACTATTTCATTACTAATATATACTTTTCAAAATGTTAACCAGATAAGATAAGTATCTTTCCCCCATGTGCTCACTCACTTTCTTTAATTCTTCAAGAAATATTTCTTCGCCTTCTTTTATATAAAATAAATAACTAGTTTATCATGACTAATAAAAATTAATAATATGCCATACGTTTATAATGTATTTTAAAAATATTTAAAATGATAAATAGTCAAATTAGTTACAGATTAAATAAATAAATAAATATTATTAATGAAAATCTCGTAATAAATAAGAATATAAAAAATTTAATAATTATAGTATTTGTTTTATATAATTAGAAAAATAGTATTTATTATTTATAAAAAGGACCAGAGAGAGTCTCTTTCTTGCTTTCATTCTCTCCTAATTGTTAGTACTTCAAAGATTAAAGACTTTTGTGAAACTCATTGATACCAGCATTTAACATGGCACACATGCAGAGAGGGACTTGGCATATGCATGAGAGGTTAGTGGTGTATTAAGAGACTGGCCCTAACAGCTAGGCTAGAATAGCCTCTACTAGACAAAAGAGTATTAAAGAGAATAAATAGCCAATTAATGAAAGGTAGTTGACAATACCAAAAAATGTAAAACAACAAGAATCCACTAAAGTATTGAGCAAGTATATCTCCCATTATTACAACGTATAAGCAACTTCGTGATCCATGCCAACAAACACTGTACCAACTAATCAATTTTTGAATGGTAAATAGGCATAAATAAATGGTTGACTGTGCTCTCTCTCTCTCTCTCTCTCTCTCTCTCTCTCTCTAAGAGACACACAAAGAACAAACAAAGAAAATTTCATGTTGTTTCATCAATCCAAATGCAGATACATAGGTTTGGCCTCATAGTTTTCAATTATTTCTAGGCTATGCTAGGATAATGTGCAGATTCTGTGGAAAATGATAAGCCCATACCCTTTACATTCTCTGTATTTCTCAGAAGTATCATTCTACTACATTGCTGATTTCGATTGCTCTTTCTGACTTTTTTCTAACTCTCAGGTGAAGTTATTCTAACAAAAAATTAAGCACTTTCTTGCTTGCTTATCTGATCACTCGTGATTGGATTGTTGAGTTTACTGCTTTAGGCTGCTAGCTTCTTGAATGTACCAAAAAAAAAATATATCATATTAAAGATTTTAGACTTGCTAACAAGTATTTCATTGAAGCATTAATAGATAAAAAAAAAAAAAAACTATTATGGATTATGATAAGAGTGTATTAATGATAGTTTTAATTTTTAATTTTTAATTCTATAATTCTTTGATCAGTATTCTAACGCTTCTAGCTAATATTTACCTTAAAGAATATTCTTTCTGTAAACAACTATGTAGTTTAACGAAACAAGACAAAGCTTAATCAAATTTCACATTATCCCTATCATTAACTTGTTAAATCAAATGATGAAAGTGACTGCTCTTTCTAACATTATATGGCTTTTGTTAATATTATGCTACCAAAATGTTTTAAAAATCACATGCTATTAGTTACTTAATTTAGGAACTTGGAAACAAGGATATAAGCAGTTTGAGTAAGTTCTTTGTAGGAAAAAAAATTACAACTCTAATCTATAATTAATGTTTCCACAATTCACGAATTCCCCATCTTTATGCACAAGCAATTGCCAATTTGTTAGGGAATACATAACGCAAGTCTGCATATTGAATGATTTGCCAATTATTTATAATTTTCCTTAAACTTTTTGCCTTGGATGTGCTGCTACATTACTTAAGACTATATTATCAATAATATTAATACGATTTTTTTAAAAATAAATACTAATATTTTTTAAAAATCTACTGTTTAATGAAATTATATATTGAATTTAAGAAAAATTATTATACATAAATATTTATTACAAAAAACTGATATTAATATTATGACCACTTTTCTTCCCAAAATATCGTCCATGCAGTGCGGTGCTTATGACTAGAAGTGTTCTAGAACAAATTTCAATGTTTGACTTTTTAGCAAATTGCAAACTCGTGATAATATGTCGTTCCATGTCAAGTCCATGACTTCCATTATCCTAATTCCAAGCTACCAGAAATTCGATGCTTACCATAAAATATTCATGACAGATTTTCAGAACATTTGCTTTGATGTTCAACTAACACTTGAATTAATGCATAATCTTCGTCCTAAAAATATATCTTCTCGTGGAATTTTATTATTATTGAGTTGAGCTTTCAAAAGCTTTTCAAAAGTCACACTATAACTATAAATACCAATTCTTTTTTTTCATATTGTTATCTCATTTTAAAGGAAAATGTTGGTGCCTAGTGCAACAAAGGATGCAAACCACCTAAAACATAGAAAGCAAACGACCAACTAATTGGTAATAATGTATTTCCTTCTTAAATTTATTTTAATTTGTTTCCTTTAATGTTTTCTTACTCTTCCATATTTCTCTATTCTCATTTTTTTTCTTACTTTTTTTCTATTCCGCCCATTTATCTTTACTTGTAATTTTCAAGTGCATTTGTTCTATTTGTCAATTTTTGTTCTCTCAAAAGATGTATAAATTTTAAGTATAATTTGCGGATATTTTTATATTATTTTTAATTAAAATTTTATCTTGATAAAATATTTATATTTAATTTTATCATGAATTACCAAAATAAAAATTTTAATTTAATTAATAAAATAATATTAAAATTTGAAAAAAGAACACGTCTAAGTTTTATCCTTTATGAAATTAGTTATTCTTTTTTTTTATAGATATAAGCTTAGTTGGAATGAGCTTATGAACAAGTCCTTATAAAAGAAGAAAAATATATTAAAAATAATAAAATATTTTTCATAAATTAATAATTTATCTTTTTAATTTTTAGAAAAGTTAAATGAGAGCTTATAAAAAAAATAAAGAAATATATGTTTATTTTAATTTACAAAAGAAGTTTGATTTATTTCTACTAGTTAATTTTTAACTCCTATAAATATTCATTAAAAGGTTTATCAAAACTGGACCATTTTCATGTGATTTTTATCGTATAAATTAGCCTTTTTTGTCAATTTTTTATTATTAAACTATATTTATCCTTCTTTCTATTTTTTTTAAGTTTAACACCATGCACAAAAATTTATTGTTTCACATCCGATCCCTTTCTCTGGATGAGCCACGCTTCTACAAGATTATTATAAAACCTAAAATCTCATAATTCTTAGTGGTGATGAGCGATAATTTTTTCATACCAAATTCCACCACAAACAACTTCCATTCTTTAATATCGTATTTATGCCTTTCCTTTACACAGTTTTATGTCCTTTACTTTCATTTATTCTCTTATGTAATTTAAAGTTACCAAGTTAGTGAATCTTCAAACTAAAAGCGGCTTTTGAAGTAGTTTAAGAATCTAAAGTTTAGGAACAACAATATCCTTCCTTAGCACATCACTTGAGAGAGAAAAATAAAAAATGGGAATAGGCCATTGCTAAATCCTATCAGTTTTAGCATATAAAAACAAAAAGGAAATCTAAGAAAAACAATTCCAAATTCACTACGAAATTCAATTCATATTAGTATTAATTATAGTAGAAATGTAAGTAAAGGCATTACATATTACCCTACATCACATAGGCAAAGTTCCTAGTTAAGTAGATGACTTGAAAAGAAAGCACAAATAAAACCATTTTGTCTTAGTACAAGCAAAACGAAATCTAGATTAAGCGAACAGTAAGGTCTATAAGGATAAGCTAATTGCTGCTACAATCAGTAGGAGCAAAAGAAACCTTTTTCCCTCCAAGGTCATACTCCACTTGAAAATCAACCTGAGCCCAATTTCCGAAGATAGAAATTCCAGTGGTGGGTAATACCGTCATGCAAACCAAGTTGTTGTCTAAGGGAATAAACATGTTCTTTTTGTTCAAGACAACATCAGCACCTGTAAAATGAAACACAAAATCAGGGACACTCATATTAGTCCCATCTCTCAAACAAAAGTCAAATGGGGATGGAGCATCTTCCACACTCTCCACATTAATAGCTTCCTTCACCGAACTTATAAAATCATTGTAAAATCTTTGTTCAAGATGTGTCAATATGGGCACTGAATCAATGACCATGTTGCCATCAGTTTGACTAGTTTGGATTGTTTTTTGTCCAATTGAGATGCCTTCAAGGTTGAGGAAATAATAGGAGGGTAAAGATGGTTTGGTGATAAGAGGAGTGGACACAACCCCATTTCCTGATACCATTGTTTGATTCCCAAATTTCAATTTTCCCGTAGAGGTTGAAGTGAAAGGAACCATACAATAGGAGAATTTGTTAGCAATTTGATCACCTATTTGTGACACTAGTGACAGTGGCCCTGCTCCAAGTCCCACAATTCCTGAGGCCTTGCTACTAATTTCAAATGTGAAATTATTGTACATGCCACACCCAAAAATAGATTCGGTTAATGTGACACTTTGGCCCCCACCCGTTGAACCAAAAATAATGGAATCACTACCCAATTTCCCTATGGTTATTGAGTTCTCACCATATTGTTGTATGTAATAGCACTCCCTTGAATTCCCACATTCACGTTGATTCTCGGGGATTAATTTGCATGGTTGTGACTCACATGGCACATCCATGTATGTAGAAGATTGGGTTGGATCAAACAATGGAGCATCTTGTGGGAAACAACTCTTACAAGGGGAACATTGTACCCATGTAAGATCACTCCCCGTGTCAAAAATTCCAAGCCTTTCAATAGCTGGGGTACCAATAGAGAATTTCATGAGGTATTCACCGTGGTCAGGTACTATAATAGTTTCAATTGATGATGATGGTGATGATGATTCGTTTCTATCTATAGAGAAATCAAGTCTATTGGATCGAGAAATAGAGCGTGTGGCAGCATTTCTCACTAGCTCTGCCAGGGTCTTTGAAGAGTCATATAAGGGTGACATTGAAGAGTCACGATGGATAAGATTGATGCTGAAGCTGTTTGGCTTGTTGCTAGCATCAACGAAGAACATAGCAAAAAGTGAGCATGGGACCAAAAATAAGAGCACAAAAGGTTGCATGTTTGAAGATTGAGAACTACAAATTGAGAGAGAAATAATGGATTAGTGGAATGGATAGAGAAAAGAATTTATGGAGAAAACATTGACGTGCATGTATTTATAGATTTTTGAGTTATGTTAATAAAAAAATCATTAAATAAAAAACATTTGATTCGTGTGATACTATAAGATAATAAGCCACATTTTATGGTGACTAATTATATTCACCCATTTTTCCTCGTTCTTGTCTCAATGTGGACCTGTCCACGCCGGTAAGATTCTTCAATTAGTAGCTTAGTTTTTTAAAAGTAAATTTGTGAGTTACGTACCTATGTTTTGTAAGAATTAATTAAAGTGAAATTTATGAAACATAATTGGGAATCAAAAGAAAGAAAATGACACATGACATTAAAATAAAGAACGTGGTATGTCAAACTTTTTTTTGGTACATGCCTAGCACAACAATACTTTAATTTTAGGAAAAATATTCAAATCTAATATATAATGATTGATTCTACTTCTCCAATTCTTACACTAGAAATGTTAGCAAACATATATTTTGCATGTTTCTTTCAACATATTTTTTATTCTTGGGAAAAATTCATATAAACCTCATTTTTATTTAATAAAAAAATAACTTCTTATTTTATCATTCTTGCATCATTTTCACTTAGTAATTTAAAATATAAAAAATTTAGTAAGATTTTTCTTTGGTACACAGTCAGGGAAAAATTAGTATACTTCATATGTGCTCCAATATAATTTTGTTTTTCGGCAACTAAGAATGATTTTATAATTTTTTTAAAAAATAAAAATGTAAGGAATGGAGAGGGTATGTCAATCAAATGTAAGAAAAATATTCTAGTAAAAATATATTTACAAATAACTTAAAAATTATATTCTGTCGTTTATTGATACAACTTACACAGTGTAATCTGATCACCTTTTCATTTATATGAATTTTTTCTATTAATTAACAACTCATAATTCTGATTTTCATAATCATAACCATAATGTAAAGAACTTTTTCACTAAAATTTATTCGGCCCAATTTTTTATTTAAATTATTTTCCTAAAATAAAAAATTTCAGTTAGATTTAATTAAAAAGATAGATTTTAACGGCTCTAATTAAAGAAAAACAAAAATATATTTTTTATTTGAATAATTAATGTCAATTATATGTTAAAATTAAATTAGCGTTTGATATAGAAAAATTTTTCCTCATAAAAATATTTATTTTTTTCATGAATGTTAACTATATAACTAATATTCATTATGTTATAACATAGAATAGTGATGAATGTGTAGGGAAAAAATTATATTTGTATAGATATTTTTTAAAATTGAAAGAGCGATTGAATCTTGAACTGAAAAGAGTCGTTTCACATTCTTCAATATTAACAGCTTAAATTATATTTTGACATTTTTGTCATCCTTGTATGTGTTAGTTTGAATCTCTTTAAACCATTTAAAATTTAATGGGTAAACATCCTTTTCCAATAACTTGAAGAGTTAATTGAGTAATTGCGATTGATAAAATTACTTTATTTAAGCTTGTATACAAATTCTCTTATTGGACCTCTTCTAATCTTCCTAACATGTCATATTATTTTTATAGAAGTCCAATAAGCATATATGAACAATCATGCCAAACAGCAAAAGTCACCTAAAAGGCATAGGTTCTAAGTGAATAACCAGTTAAAATGATTAGCATCAAATTGCAAATGAAAATTAATATCCGATGATTAATTAGAAGAACGCAAGTGGATCTCAAAAGCCAGATTCTGATCTTGAAAAGCAAATAAATAAAAGCATTTCCAACACTCATGCTTTTATTAAGTATCAACTAATTAAACTTAAAGTTAGAAACAAGGGGAAAAAATAACATTGTGAAATATTATCACACATTTTAATTGTAACCTATAAAACAATGAAGAGTCGTAGAAGGAATAGAGGAGTGGGAGTACAACAACAACGTGACATTAATTTGAGATTTTCAAAAATAGTATGAATATATAAGCATTAAAACAATTAATTAAAATGCTCTAAATAAAATTTATTTTAAGAAGGATTAATTTAAGAGATTAAAGTTATTAGTCGAGAGTGTAAATAAGCAAATAAAATGGTTAATATTACATTTTCAATGTTGGCAGATCTATTTACTTATTTGTTTTCTTCACTTACAGCTCATGAAATTATCCTCATCTAAATATTTTTCAATTTCTATGATGAAGTTACATTTTATTACAATAAAATTTAAACATACGATCTCAAGTAAATTATTCAAACCTCTAACCAGTAACTACATTTGATTTTGTTTATTCACACCACACAACATTAACTACCTATAATTTTACATGAATTCAAAAGTCGAAATCAGAAGCCATATTACAAGAGATATTCACAGCAAAACTCATGTAAACTTTACGTAACAAACGACCAAAAACGACTAATGTCTAAACAGCCAAGCGAAAATTAAGCATCCAATACTATGTAATATTGCTTGTAAACAACAATATATAGAATGTTAGAAGCTACTTTAAATATTTAGAAAAATGTCGTTTCCATCATGTTTGTCTTTAAACATAAACTAAAAGCCAGATTTTAGTTAAAAAAATATAACAAGCATAGCCTCTAAGCCTGACTTAAAACTCATAAAAAACAGCCGAATAAAACATTCAACATCTAATGATTAACAAAAGGGTATATATAATCGTAAATTACGATTGAATGTCTCAAAAGTCAGTTTTTAATCGAAAAAATAATAAGAACAACTTTCCATTATGTTGACTTTAAGCGTCATCTAAAAGGTAGGGAATATAACATAATGATTAGGATAAGTTCTACCATCAACACAGCCAAATAAAACTCTAGAAATACAAATTTGTTGTCTAATATCTTACAACATGCACCTTTAACTTACAGTAACTCTTATAGTTTTATGTTTATTTTTTATATTTATTGATTTTTATCACATTATTTATTATATTTTTCTCTCTTTTTTTTTATCTTCATATCTCTCTTTTCCTTCATCTATTTCACATTCCAAAAGCATGCCAACTTCATTGATCAATGGTAGTCAAGTTAGTTAAATTTATTATTTCTTAAGTTAGTTATTGGTTATTCTATCTCCTAAAGCCACGTATATGTTCTCTTCATAATATTCTGTATTTTTCTTTACTTTTTTTTTTTTATAATTCTCTATACATAATTGATATACTTTTATAATAAAATGCTTTTTGTATAAAATATTTCTCTCTTAGAAATAACTTTTCAAAATTAATGGTAGTTAAATTAGTTATTTTTCATGTTAGTTATTGGTTAGCCTATTTCCTATTATAAATGAAGATGTGTTCATATTTTGTTCATAATAACAAGGTTCAAAATGAGACCTCGGTGAAATTGTGTGGCGAGCAAGGATTCTCTTCAACATGATTAAGGAATGTATAATTCTTCCTAACATTGATTTTTTTCTATATAAATTATCTAAACCCCCACTTGGATTTTTACTAAACAAGTAACATGACAAGTAGTAAGCACCATCATTACTAATAGAACACTCTAACTAAAAAGGAAACATTTTGAATTAAGTAAATTGAAATTGTCTTGGATGCTTATTGCAAGAGTAAGGATAATTTTCAAGATGACATTGATATGGACCCATTTTAAATAAACTCTTCAAATTTCATCTCTTTGATTCACTTAAAATTTCGTAAATTTGAAGACATTTTTTAGGGTCACATTCTAAAAAATTAACATCAAATTCACCATCAATTACTTTTTGAATCTTGGAAGGCTAAGGAAATGGGTATAACCATTGATAGAAGCTATAATACTAATGCAATAAGCCTACATAAAAAGGAACTGATAAGTGTTATATTTTAGTAGTTTTCAATGTATATTTTAACATTTATTTGATTTTCTTTTTTACATAATTTACACCTAAAGTCTTTGCAATTCACATTTTAATTCATTTAAGTTCATATCATTTAAATTTAGCAATTTTAGCTTTAATTTTGTCAAATAATAAAAAATGTTTTATCCACTTTTCTTGTATGAATTTTCTTAAGAGTAAAGATTTGATGAGATGTTCACATTTATAACTTTATTGTGTCTTCAAAACACTCTTCATATACTTCATTTTGAAAGTTTTCATCATTTCTTATTAATATAAATGATTTGAGCTTATTTTGCAGTAGTATTTAAATTTCATATTTTCAGCTAATTTGATCTTTGTTTACTCATTTAGTCATAATTTTTTCTAAAGATATCATTTTTAGCTGATTCTAGTTGCATTAGATTCTACGCATTGAAAACTTCAAAATGCATATATTGTTTGCAGGATTTTGAGTTATTTTCTTTTTTTTTTATGATTTTTTGAAGATAAGAAAAATTTGCTGAAGTCGCCCAGATTTTCAAGTCTCGCACAAGAAATGCATAAATCAGACCATGTTTTTTGTTGGTTTTCTCGCTTGAGCAAGAATGACCCTTGCTCAAGCAAAATTAGCTTGCTGAGCGAGAAGACTTGCAGTCTCAAGTTGTTTTTCGCTTGAGTGAGAATTGGTTCCCTTGAACGAGAATTCATTTATTATCCTATAAAGATAAAAAATTCAACTTGAAAAGGAGGGTCGAAGAGGGCTTTGGAACCCCAACACACTATGACCTAATTTAGCATTTCAGAGCAGTTGAGGAGCTTGGGAAAGTGACCAAGAACTATTGGGAGAACTAATTTCTATCTCTTTTCCTTATATTTTCTTATTATAATGTATGTCATGAACAGTTATAACTCTATAGGACTTAGATGTAATCTTCATACTCTGAATATTTTGATATTTTTAGTATATGTTTGTTCATTTGCCATGATTGTGTGTGTTTATCTTGATTGTAATGTTTATTTCTATCTTACGGAGAATGATTCATGATCTAAGAATCTGAGTTGAGTGTAACAACTAACTTGGAACCCAACTAAGGT